AAACTTTTACTGTGTAAATGTTATTATAGTATTATAGATCTATCTTTTTGAGTTTTCATTGAACACACACATATCAATTTTAAAATAGGACTTTACCTTGTTTTAACATACCCTAGCAGTTACTCATTACTTATGAAATCAAGGCTTTCAGTGTATTCCCTATGTATACATGTAAGCATGTTTGTATTTCAGACACCCTTGATGATAGCTTAGCTGGGAATCAAATTCTACTTTGATTACTTTGGCACAAGTTTAAGGATACAATAGAATTTATTCTGGTTTCTACTACTGGTATTGAATAATAAATAATACATTTATGATTTGTTTTTATAAACATATTATTCTTCCAATTGTTGTAAATTTTCTTGTTCCTAGTATTCTTTTTTAAATATCTTTTTAAAAATATTTTTAGACACTGATGGACCTTGATTTTATTCATTTTATTTACATGTTGTGCTGAGGATCGAACCAAGTGCCTCACACATGCTAGGAAAGTGTTCTACCACTGAGCCACAACCCCAGCCCCCTAGTATTCTTAATATGCCTAAGTGAAGAATTATTTTCATTGATCTTGCTTAAATTATGATTTTCAAACATCTCAGAGTCTGTTTTGATTATATTCCCAACCACATTTTTCTAAGGAAAATTCTATTTGATATACAGCAAGATCTTATTTTGTCCTATAATTTACTTTCTTCCCTTTCATATCTTTATGGCTTTCAACTAAACCATGGATATTTTCATGTATTTTCTAGTTAAACATGTTCTTTGGGTGTAAACTGCTCTTTGGTACTCCCTCCAATTTTCCTTTATTTTTGTGAAGTTTACCATTGTTAAATATCAAAATCTAAATTGACCTTTTAATTCAACATTCTTAGTTTCTTTTCTTATGACTTTTATTCCATTAATAATTTTCCCCTTTAAGCATACTTTACTATGAAATGTTTACACCATTTCATTCTGTAATATTTTTGAATGTCTGATCCTGATGTCATTTGCTTGCTGATTCTCACTCATGGTGGATTATTTCCTTACATTAAAAAATTATAAGTAACTGCTCTCATGGAT